AAGGAAAGGATAGGATGTGGAAGTGGACTTTCCGGATGAGAGGATGAATAGGAAGGGAAAATATTTTCTCTCTGTGCATCCTCTCCTCCGGCGATTAAAGACAGGCAACGCATATGCAATTGCGTATGTCTATGGGCAGCAGTCGCTTCGCTATTTCAGCGATTTCAGGTGGCCGTTCGCTCGTCTGCCACCTTATGATATAAAAAAGCAACATTGAAATTCGTCGAAGAAACTTAGCAGACATATAAAACATAGTCTGAAAGAACACACAGGCTACTAATTATGTTTTTATTTAATGAACGGACAGAGTCGCGGGCGACAGCTAGTGTGTTAATATTTGGAAACTTGCAAATTGCTTTAAATTACATTAACAATCGCAAGAAGATCGATTTGAAGCAATTTCATTGAACGTGATTGAATTGTAAAGATATCGTTTTGGTAGACAATCATCTTAATAACGAAACAAAAATGTTAACCGCCACGTATTGGGTTATTTGAGAGCCGGTTACCGCAGAATGTGGACATAATTACGTTTAAATTTGGATTATGAATGTTTTTATTTAACCCTTTATTTTGCTTTGTTCAGATTGACATCCTGGAAACAAGGTCTGTGGAAGTCTTACTTAATTATATACACTGTAAAACTTAGCTAGAATTATATAAAAATTTATGTAACCTAATTTCAATGTATCTTTTACTTTTCATTCCTAAAATTTCATATCTTGTCTTAAAAAATAATCCAACACAATATTTAAAAAAATTACAAATCCAAAGTGTCAGATCTCGGTTCAAACTCACGACATTGTATGTAGGCCACCGCCCACCGCTATTAACGATAATTTTCCACGAGGGCAGAACAGAGATGCAGTGCAGTACGACAGTCATACGCTGAGATAGAATAGTACGCTACAGTAAAAATGTTCCAATATCAGTACTGCACTGTTAACTACTCTGCTACACTGTGCTGCCGTCGTGTGAAAGTAACATTAGCTAGTTCGCCGACATCTAGCAGCGTCTAGACGATAAGTATGCACCTCCGGGCACTGATCTTATCTACCACATCTAGTGTTATCTATATCTTTGATGCTTTTAAAGCCGCAATGAAATTGGTCATCGAAAATTATTTTTAAAATTCCAACGGTGTTACAGGTAAGTTAAGATGAATATCCGGGTGTGAATCATAAATCAATTTTAGAGTATATTAAATAGAGTTATGATGATACTAGCTGTCGCTCGTAACTCCGTCTACGCGGAATTAGCTTAGACTATGTGTTCTTCCAGATTATGTTCTACATGTATGTCATATTCCAGCTATCCATCTATCATACATCCACACAATCACATTTATATTAGTAAGATGTACGATAATAAAAAGGTCGTAAAAATTGGTTACACGTGAATAATATTTGGTAAGACATGCATTAATAATCTGAGCTTAACTTAAACGCACTGATTTTTTTTTAATTATAACTGGCCAGATATTTTCGGTACGATTAAATATTAATCGATATATCGCGAAGTATCGAGTTTGAATCGTTACACTGGTTAGTGTAATAGTCAAGACTACTAATGACTCATCTGAATTGACGATATGTCCATCGTAAAGTGGACTATGAGTATATGAATGTATGTATGAAGAAGCGTATTACATGTATGACATGGATGACAAGTCACGTTCCTCGCGAGTCGATTTGTTGATGCTTTATTGTTTGTGGAATCGATTATTGCGTGTATCGGCTTTGTGATGTTGGAATTCAATGATGTTTAATTCTGTATTATACGTACGAACAATCGCTAAGGGATATAAAATTACAAATCAACATTTTATAAGATTTAAATGTATTTAATACGTGTTTCTTTTTGCTGTCATTCATCAAAACTCTTCCTTTTTAAAATAAAGGTTAGTGGTTTATAACATTTTTATAGATAAATGTTATATCATCATCATCAGCTCACTATACGTCCCCACTGAGGGACTCGAAGCCTACCCTAAGTTAAGGGTGACTAGGACATAGTCAACCACGCTTACCAAGTGCGGCTTGGTTGACTTCACACATAACTTTGAATTTCTTCTCAGATATGTGCAGGTTGCATCACCTTCACAGTAAGAACGTCGGGTAAATGTATATATGTAAATCGGAAATCGAAAGACACATTGGTACATGGTGGAATTCGAACCCAGGATCTGCAGATTGCAAGTCAAGAGCTTGACTCCTGATCCAACGACGCTCATTTTTACGACGATTTTTACAGTTGCCAGTAATATTTTTACTTTTTATCTACTCCTAAATAAGCACAATAATGAGAAATAATCAGAGTACTAAGGAGCTTACATTTTGTGACAAGTACGGGCTCATTCTCGCCTCCGTATTTGGCTTCTACCAAAACAGGAGAGCGATTTTAATGAGCAACTTCAATGAGGAAAACAAAGGGTTCCACGAAACAATTGTTGATACTACAATTTGCTGTTAAGTGTAGCTTCAGTGAGATTCCTTCGAGTGATAATTAAATTAATTTTTCTTTAGATGTTTCGTAAATGCAGTAAGATGAGCTATAGAAACTATGTCTAAGATAAAAAATCGGAATATAATAGATGAAAACAATATTATTTTTAAATATAATATCTTTATATTTCCAGCCATATATGTTAGTATGAATTAACCTTTGTAATTTAATTCGATAGTGATAAACGTTCGACATCAGTTCGAGTTGAACATATAGTAGGGGACAGCATCCATAACATACATTTGTTTAATGCATACACTGGTCATAAGACGTATATGGTGATCAGACACTAAAGGGCTCAAGCCTTGACGTACCAAGTTACGGAATTGATGCAAAATTCTTCAATACATATAAATAAAATTGGAGTGTCTGTTTGTAATATTACAACGTTACGTTTATTTTAATATTAAAATAATCGTTTTTTACTACATGTATATCAATATATATACGGTACACGCACAAAAATAACTTTTTTTATAATTTTTGTCTGTCTGTTTGTTCCGGCTTATACCGGCCAGGTAGCTAATGTAATACGGAGTAACTTGGTTACGTTTATTCTAATAAAAATCTTTTGAAATGTCCAAGTACTTTCCAGTTAAAATACATTTCATGCGGACGCACTCGCGGGCGATAGCTAGTATTCCATAAATACCTTATTTAAGGAGTAACTCGTACTTACGACACTGTAAAAACTTATTCAAAAATTATAACTTCGCGTTTATATTAACTTCGTATACAAAATAACCATCAAAAATTTACGGATACTCAAAATGGGTCGTACATAAATTGATACAGGAAAATTAACAATACATTATTAGTGTAACCTTTTTCAACTGCAACTAGGGTGTTATATTTTGATATTCGAAAATAGAACATATTCCTATATGTTTTAAGTGCAGAATTGTATAACGATCGTATCGAAGGGTTGATTCACATCTGTTTAATATGATTTTATGTTATTCCGATACGCACAGGAACGTTAGGGCGATATCGAATGGGGACATTTGTGCATCTATGAACTTACTTATAACAACACATGTTCTAAAAATTACATTAATATAATAATAATATTGGTATTATAAAGATTAACTCATCAAAAACAATTAATCCTTAATTCGATGCTATCCAGGATGACGAATAAGTAATTAAAAAAAATCTACTGAACTAGTTTAGAGAAAATTACGTAAGTATGACTTTACTAAAAAAAAACGTTTTTTTTGCTATAAAAAATTTCGTCGAATTAAGGGTTAAGGTATTGACATTAAGAAAATTAACACGCCAATGCGTTCTCGTGGAATAAGAAAAAATAATAGCCTATGTGTTCTTCCAGACTATGGTCAATACATGCCAAATTTCATCGTGATCCGTTGAGGAGTTCTGGAAATACCCTTTAACAAACATGCATCCAACATATTCGCATTTATAATTAGTAAGATTTCCTCACAGTTTTATTTTATAAGAGAAGGGTCAAACGAGCGGCGGGAACACCGAGGTGATCAAAAACACCCTTGGACATGCAACACCAGAGGAACTGCAAATGCGTTGCCGGCCTTTGAGGAAATGGTATGTTCGCTTCTTGGAGGTCTTGCTAATTTAATTTAAATTAGCGCGTGCTATCTTTATTCCCCAATATTATGTGAAATGATATTTTAATGCAGATTCTTATTTACATATAATAATAGCATTTTATTCTGAAATTATTTGATATAACATATGTTAAAAAAGGTTTATAAAATGTCCCTAATCCCAGTGTACCTCTGGGCATAGGCCTATATACATTTACATATATCTACTACTAAAAATAAGGCTTACTTTGGTTAGAATAATTTTAAATCAACTTGTTACTGGAATGTTTGTAATTTTTCAATAGTCAATATGTATATATTATACAGCGTGTCCCAAAATACAATGATTAAACTGTAATGATATATAGCCAGATCGATAACTACACGGGGGAAAATACTAAAAAAAATCCAACTCTTTTTGTTTAAAAGTCATATTAACTTTTGTCAGTTTTCTTATAATTTCAGTAGTTGTTTAGTTAAATTGTCGGTATGTTCGTGACTGCGGAAAATTAAAAATCGTACACAGAATTGCCACAAACTATCATAGACACGTTTTATTAAAAGTAGCTTTTAGTAGCACAGAGGCAAAACAATTGATTTACAATAAGAAATGCATGTGATTCAAGCATTCATAATTTTACCGTCACAAATCGTCTGAATGTTTCTAATGTTCAAAATAGGACTGTCTCTATTTTTGCAAAGATAATGAAAGAGGTGGAAATAAAACTTCACTAATGCTGTTTTCGTTTGTACTTCTTACTAATATTATAAATGCGAATGTTTAGATGGATGGATGTTTAAAGGTATCCTCACTGATATTTAGCATGATTGTAGAACATAGTCTGGAAGAACACATAGACTACTTATTGAGTTTTTTTTTAATTCCGGACGGAGACGCGGGCGATAGCTAGTTGTTGACAGTACACTTACTTGCAAAAATATTCTCCTCTAGGTGTGGACAGACATGTGCCACTATTTTTACACGGCGACGGTGAACACGATACGAATCCTGCAAGAAAACAAAGCAAAAATTAAAAAGTGCGAAAAAAAAATGTAAACGTAAAGAAAGGTTTGCTTGCCGTTTAACGTTTAACGTATTACTGTGATGTAAATTTTTTCACGTTTAGCAATAGAATGGAGATACTCATACTGAGTAAATTCGCTGACACAAATAAAGTTTAGCAAATATGGCGCCAATATTCAAACTAAATACGTTAAAATTTCACTATCTACATATTAAATCAACAAACGTGTGAAATTGTAACATAAAATGATATATAATTCCAAATATTTGTAGTATTTAAATATTGTAATGCTATCATAGAATTTGATTGATAACATGGACTAAGATAAACTTGAACACAGCGCAATGCAATGAAACTTTTCGAGTTTTAATCGATATTATATCGATTACAAGTCGTTAGTTTTTTTATAAGACAAGGAGGCAAACGAGCGGCGTGAACACCGAGGTGATCAACGACACCGATAGACATGCAACACCAGAGCAACTGCAGATGCATTGCCGGCCTTTAAGAGAATGGTATGCTCGCTTCTTAAAGGACTCATCTAGGTCGTATTGGTTTGGAAATACCGTCGAAGACAGACCATTTCAACGACAGCCGCGTTTCAAAAAGCTTTTTTGTCTTGCTAATGAATATATTATACAAGCAAATCTAATATTTTCTGTTTTATTTTTTTAATTATACACGCATGGCTTACATTTACGTATTTAGGAGACTATATTCTAATAGCCTTCGCTCACTAGGGACTTAGTCGTCCGATTCAACAGTATGAGCATGTAATCAGTGTTACGTGCGCACCTTCATACAAGCTCATACTGATTGTACGTACGATCAAAGTATCGGACGACTAAAAGTCTAGTGTGTGGGGACCCTAAAAGTGATACAATTAGTGAAGTTTACTGTTTATTTCTAGTCGCGTCGGAACAGCAACATATTAATTAGCATTTAAAAATTAAAAAAAAATTGACATAGTTTTTTTTTATAAATGTTTCGACGGTTGATATTAAAAATTACCAGTATGTAGTACGATAAAAATAAAAGATTAGGACATTTTACGTGTTGTATACTAACGCATTACAGGTTACTGTCTGCAGATTTAAATGCATGTCTGCGGCCGTGAAAGGTTGAAATTATATTTTTTATACTTTTTTCTAAATGTACCAAGGAATTGAAGAAATACCGTTACGCGTTGCGCAATACTGGCTTGTTATCATTGTTTGAGTAAATATTCTTAGTGTCGCATGTTGATATCGGTGTGGTGCGCGTGGGAACATGGAATTTTTGACAAGCGTCACAGACCAGCGTTTATTGACACGTAACTAAGCGGGTTAATTCCTGAGATATGTGGAAAGTTAATCTTTGAAAAATATTCAATAACATATTTGGTAACATTTTAACATTTAAGAAACGGTTAATACGATTTAACAATTGGTATCAATTCTAACACAAGCTAGCCAGTTAAATGGCGTCGTTCAACACCCCGGTGTTGCCGATGCTCGTTTGTCGCCATGTTTTAAAAAAAAAATTACCTCAAACGCAAAAACGACGGGGTGTTATAAGTTTGACGTATATGTGCGCGTGTCTGCGTGTAGCATTGTAGCTCCCGAGCGGATGAACAGATTTTGTTTTTCTTTTAACAATCTTTTAGTCTATACAAGCGATTTTTTAAGTTTGAATAAGCAAATTTGAATTCATATACTCAGAAATTGTATAGTTTTTCTAAAAAGTTAAGGACAGTCATCAGTATTCCATGTGAAGGACTTCCGCAGTACATGAGTCGACCTGGCAACACTACTCGGAACATGGAATCGAACGGACAACAAAAACCGTCTGCGCCGCCATATTGGGCGCCCTTTTGTTTTTGCCAACCGCTCACCAGAGGGAAAGCGGGCCCCGTGTGATGAATGTTTACCGGTTTTCGTGAAACCCGAGCCATGGTACTAACGGACTCGCAGCTCATTAATGTTATTATGGACTCGATATCAACTTGATAATCGATTCTATATTTCGATATCTCGATTGTAAGGCAAGGGGATTTTAATATTTTTTTGTTTTTATCAGACTGTTACATATTGCGGTCGTGAAAGCATAAAAACTAATTGCCGAATCTACATTTTAATATATTGTGCAAACAATATTTCCAGAAATATCTATAAAATTTCTAGATTTTACTGATAAATTCTATATTACGCAAACAAGCAATATAGAATGGGTTTTGTTTGTAATGGCCGATTATTTTATCAATTTGCATTATTTTACATATCATTTTGGAATATGATTTAATAACAAGTAAATCCTAAATTAAAAAAAAAACAAATCCCACGGTTATAACTCAACGGAATGAGTAACGCTTTAGTAAGACAATTTAATTTTTTTTTCGTCAAAATTTATCTCTAATCAATATGACTAAAAATCATTGTACTTTAGTGTTATAAAACCTAATATATCTGAAGGAATAAAATATCATTGAACATTAATAGACAGGACTGGTTTTGTCAAAACGTAACGCACTTTCTACAAATATTTTACAATGTTTAAATGTGTTTGCGAATGTGCATAATTAGATTATTGTAGAATATAGTACAGTTTAGGTGTTATGACAGGAATACGTAAGAGTGATGGTGTATGCAAAAAAAATATGGTCGAACGACCGGAGTTGCGCGGCACGGATGCGGTACGATAGCCCGACCGTGGGAAAACAGTCTGATAAAAATAAAAATAACCCGAAAATAAAATCGGCAACAACTCGCTTACTTCCGCGAAATAGCTACTTGCATATCACATGTTTGCCTACTGATAGCTACGACAAGTCGGGACGAGTTCCCCAAATGTATGATCCTGGGAAAAAAATATGTAGAGTTATTTACTTAAACCGACAAATATGACAAATTATATGAAAAGTGTAACTAATCTGAAAACTAATGGTTACATAATAACATTTATAATCTGACTAGATGTCGGCCACGACTCCGTCTGCGCGGGATTAAAAAAAAAACTTAATTAGTAGCCTATGTGTTCTTTCAGACTATGCTCTACATGCAAAATTACAGCAAGATCCATTCGCCCATTGTGGGGGTACTTTCTAACAAAGATCCATCCATTTAAGCATTCGCATTTATAATATTAGTAAGATATGTCTAATATCAAATGCTGCAGTTGCATGCATTAAAAAAAAATCTTTATGCTTCCGAGATAAACATTTTTGACACCCACTCGAATCTTACATAAAGTCGCGTGTCAATAGCTCATAGAACTTAAAAGAGGTAAAACAAAATATCAATTGATAGTCACAATTAAAGATTTCACGCACTTTGTCAGATGATCGCGGCTTTATTTGCGAGGTATTTTAATCGCGTATCGGTCTTTTGGTGTTATGAAAGAGAAACTTTGGAAGTTTGAATATTTTAGGGTCAGTTGGTTCGGTGGCATATCGGTGTCATTTGATTACATATTAACTATCGCCACATTTGACTGGTTCGTGGGAGAACCAGAAACTACAATTATTTTAACGGGATAAAAGAAACATGCTTTCATCTATAATTTCACCTACTAATAGGTCGTTATAAATATTAATTTAGAAGTATTTAATACAATCCAAAATTGTATGGATTAAGTGGATGGATTAATGTTTAAAGGTCAGATGAATTTTAGCATAGATGTAGAAAATAATCTGGAAGAAAACATAGTCTATGTATAAGCTTTGTGTCCCGGAGGCCTAATTTAGTCCTCTTTTTCTTATAAGGAAAAGATAGGAAGTGACGGACTTTCCGGATGAGAGGATGCATAGGAAGGGAAAATATTTTCTTTCTGTGCATCCTCTTCTCCGTCGATTAAAGTTAGGCAACGCATATGCAATTGAGTATGTCTATGGGCAACGATCACTTCGCTATTTTAGCGATTTCAGGTGGCCGCTCGATCGTTTGCCGCCTTATGATATATAAAAAAAGCTTTATTTCGATTCGCGGGCGACATCTAGTCCGATAAATAAAGTTTTGTTTATGTCAATATTTGATGAATCATTCGCCGTACTCATGTTATCGCAAAATCGTGAAACATGTCAATATGAATGAAGTAAATGTTTACACGTTTTATCAGTAACATTATGCGGTATTTGTTCTATTTAAATGACATTTCCGATAATTATATTATCATATTTCACTCGGTAGTACGTTGAATCAATATTCAAATGATTTACGATTCATTTGTTGTCATGTGTTTGGGTGGTCTTTGACATCTGTGGTTTTCTGATAACAGAATATTGTTTAAAACATATTGTTATCTCTGTTTTGTCAAAGATAATGAGAGGGATGACGATATTTTTATACAGAGATTTTTATATCAGGAACCAACGGTTATATGAATTGTTCAAGACGATTTACAAGAATAAAATCCAGCACAATAATAAAAGAATAAGATAAAAATACATAGTTAATTAAAATAAGAATTGATTTAAAACTTCGTCACATGAGAATTTATTTTAAATAAACATTTCTTTTGAAATATAAACGGGAAATGGATTTCGTATTTGGACGGATATGTTACGAGTTGATCCGCTGAGAAACCGTTATTGAATCATTTTGAGCTACTGGCAATGGCCACCAGCGTGGGCGGCCATAACAAGAATTATATAAATATACATATATATCATCTCAGAGTAAGATAACGAAAGTAAATAGAAGTTAATATACATATGTTTGTTATTACAACCATTCAAGTAATTTTAAATTTTAAGTTATATATTTTAAGTAACAAATTAATCTTACTAATATAATAAATGCGAATGTTTAGATGGATGGATGGATGTTTGTTTGAAGGTATCTCAGGAACGGCTGAAATTTTAGTATCGATGTAGAATATAGTCTAGAGGACTACATAGGCTACTTAATAAGTTTTTAACTCCGCGAGGACGGAGTCGCGGACGACAGCTAGTTATCAATATAATTATACTGTTTCGATGAAATATTAGATTGAAGTACAAATAAGTATA